AATCAGCTCCTTTTTATAATTTTGCCTCTTCCAGATATGATATATGATTAAGGGGAACATGAATTAGAACTTGGTATGCTTGTAATATCCTAAATCCATTGAGGGCAACGAATGATTATCAAGGCAAAGGCTTAGGCAAAGAGTGGCTCCTAGTAAGCTTCTAGGATAGCAAATTTAGAAGAGAAAAAGGAGAGTATGATCAATTTAAATTCCACATTTAAAAAGGAGAAAATATTATTGGGCTTTACAAGTAAAGAGTTAAAACCAAATAAGCAAATCACTTTTTTGATGTTATAACTATAGTTTCCTTAGGAACTCTAGAAATTAAATATATTAGATCACTCTTCGGATACTACACCAAGAAAGGTAAAACCTTTAAGCTCGGATCAGCATGGAATTGGCTTGGCTAAAGTTATGTTAACTTCTATAACGTAAGTTAGGTTGTCATAGACTATCATGATGCCTTTACTTGCCTACCGATTATGAGCTGGTTAGTTCCCTTCTTTTAAGAGAGGGACTTTTAGTCACCATATATCTTCTCATATCAAAACCATCAAATTCTTTTTGTCACCATCACAAGAGACTTCCATTATAATTAAAACTCTCTTATATTGCAATGACTTCCTCAATTTTAGCAAAATACAACCATTTGTAATTCATGACTATAACTTCTATAATTACTCACATTGGGTTAAGCCTCATGAGTTTTTGCATTTTAGAATTCAATGTTAAAACTTAAAAGTTTATGTTTTATGTAGATTTCATTTTTATTTATCTCATTATATGCAAACCATCATTCAAATCAAAGTATTGCTCCCTTAAAAAAAAGAGTTTCTTCCATTACATGCAGTCAATATATTTATAAAAATTAAAATAGTTAAATATTAAATAAAAATCATAGTTAAATATTACATTCTCTTAATAGAAATGTATATCAAATTTTTCTCAATTATTTCTTGCATGTCAATGATTGATGTTTATGCTCTCATTCTAGAAGACAGATTCGAAAACATTATGAATATATATGAGCATTGTACTTTGGCATATAAAATTCCATCTCAATCGAAGTAGCTTGACAATTATAACCTTCACATACCAAAATTAGCTACATTAATACAAATATCTGCAGTTTATAATTTTAAAAAACATCCAAACATTTTACATTTTGCACTTGCATTTAGTATTTTTTTTTTTGCCACCTTAGGAGCTATATATTACTTATTAGTCATTCAATTTGACAAATACATGCTGTAATTATCACTAAGATAGTCTAAGATAAGATAATGACAATAGACAATAAATAGGGCCCATTTTTCTGTAAATTATCTAATGCATGACCACTGTTAAAGGGGAGATATCCAAACGCATGCCACATGTACTAAACAACAAATGGAGCATCTATTAGTGATCAAGGAACCCAAGGCTAAGTCATTTCATCTAACAATTATGAAATTTGACTTCTTATGAGTTTTACATCATGTCCCTTGGATACCCTAGCTATAGCAAGCCTTCATTTTCCATACAATTTTTGTTATTATTATAATAATTGAATTAATAGTTTTCTATTATTAACATTTTATTCATTAATGTGAAGCATATCAAAACTTAAAATTTAATAAGAATAATAATTAGATTTGACTACTTTGTTTGCTCTCTTCATTGATCACTTCTAAATCATAATTAATTGGATAAGTGAGATTAATTTTAGAGTTTTAAATTGTATTAAGGCTCTGTTTGAGACTACTGCAATATTTTATGAAATTGTTGTAGAGAAAATAATTTCTCAACTATGGCTGGAAAAAGCAGTTTTCCAACATAAATTTTTATAATAAGCAATAAAAAAGTTGTTGTCAAATAAAATTGTAGAAAGTCGGCTCTAGCCGATCCTAAGTATCGCGATTTCTAAAATAAAAGTTTTGAAATATATTTGACTCTTTTTCTTCTCATTATTAAAGTCAAAAGAGATATTATATATTAACTTATAAAATTAGGGTTATTAAGTTAGAGCAGGGTAGCATATGTAATATCACATCTAACCAATCATCGGATAGCATCCAAAGATTTTTTTTTTTTTTGCAGCCCATTTTAGTCTATTAGTTGGGAGCTTAGATTTTCCTAATTTTTTTCCACTAAGCTTCTATGTTTACGCCATGAAAATCATATCATGGTGACCACCATTGAGTTATTTCAGATATATTTATTAATAAAATTAGTTAGGAACCATAATTGATTTATTTTTATCATTTTCAGTATTTAATCAAGCATTTGTAATTAATATATTTATAATGTAAGATCCATATACTGTGATAATAAATCTTATAATATATATAAATAATTTTAAGAGAATAAATTACTTATTTTATTTTATTTTTAACCATTACTTATATGGTGAATGATTCTTTAATTTTATAGTATATGAGTATTCAAATCAAATTATTTTTTTTTATGAATGCATAAAAAAGGAACTAGAACAATATCATTAGATTGATTTCAATTATATAAAATAATCAAATTAGATCATCAATTTTTTTAAGTTATAGATTAACATGAGAGTTCTTGGTCTTGTATTGAAAGCTGGTAATAACAATGAAAATTAATTTTGTATATGATGATTTTTTTTTCACATTAAAAATTGATCAAATTAGTTTTTCATGTTGTTTTTTGGTTATAGATTAACATTAAGAATTCTAATCTTTTATTTGAAGATCATAAGGCAAACTAATTTTGAAAAAAATTACAGGTGTAAATGAGTTGAGTTGAGGCGAGTTGAATATCTGCCTAATCGAGCTAAGCTCGTTTAATTCTAATTGAGTTTGAACTCGAGCTCGTTCACTAAGTTTGAACACAGTTCCTTCAAAAACTATTAGGCTCAAGCTCATTTGGAAAGCTCTAGTTTGACTCAAGAAATAATTAAAAGTATTTATTATATATTTTATTATATTATTTTGAAACTAATTTTGAAATATATTTATAATTTAAATGAATGGTTCGACAATTTTGTGTCTAGTTAGGGTGAACTCGAGTATAAGCTAAAGCTCGAACTTGTGGCTGGACAAACTCACCTCATGAAATTGTTAATGAGTTGAGTTTAAGCTAGTTCACGAGCTGATTCTGTTCACTTACACCCCTAGTAAAGACTATGATTTTTGCATAACAACATTATGCAAGGATCACCTCTAGTAAAATGTTCATGCTTTTGTATTAATTATGGTGTTGCCCTTTGATTTGCTTTAATCATTATATTTTAGAAACAGTTAATTCTATTAAAGGCAACTATCAAAAATTTTTATTAACATTTAATCTGAAAATTAATTGCATGATTTTTTTTGTCTAATAGAACCTCTTAAAATTATTATTTCCAAGATGTTTCCTTTAATCAGTGCCATAATTTACTAAATTTATAGTAGGTCAGTCAGATATGTCTAATAGAACCTCTAAAGAACTAAGGATTTACAAACTAAATTCCAACTTAAATAAAGGATAAATTTTTTTATTCCGACAAATTTCTACTTGACCATAAATATAAAATCTCATAAAATTTAAGAAAATAAAAATTAACAATTATTATTTAGTTTATCTTAGAAAAAAAAAATATTTTAGATGGAAAGCCAGACCTATTGTATGGACACTTATAAGTCTAAAATCGTGTTAGTTCGTGTTAATACGGGTTTCAAAGCTCATTAAGCCATGGGCATTCATATCGTGCTTTTCCTCTGGCTTTACACCTACTTATGAACACATTTATGAATTAATATTCTGAACTTTCTACTATGAATGTTACTTAATAGGGCACCTAATATTATTTAAATTATGTGGATAAATAATAAGGGAAAATTTTTGAGATATACTCCTTTAGTAAGAAGTAGTATTTAATAGAATATTAATTTGAGAGAAAAAAAACATTAATTTTGTCTTTTCATTCATGTACAAAAATTAAAAGGTAATTCTTTTCAGTACATCAAAATTCTTTCTAACATGTCTTTATATTTAATAATAATATTCATTTAATATTTTTAAGGAGAATTTACATACATACCATTTTATATCATATTATTTACATATCTAATATTTAAAATTTTAATATTTCATGCATATATATATTTTATAGACAACTTTAATATCAAACATGTCATTTATATATTTCATTCATATCATTCTATAAACTTTAATATTTTATTCAGTGCATTCATATTTATTCTATGGGTGATAGATATGAAATATTAAATTCTTAAATTTTAAATATATAAATAGTATAATATAAAGTGTGTGGTACATATATAAATATCCTCCTAATATAAAGTGTGTGGTATTTCGTTGGTTTCTAATGATGTTTTCCTCTATGCTTATTATGCGAATTTTGTGATTTATAATTGCAAAAAGTTATACACTATTAATCGTAAAAGCTGTGCGGCGTGCAAGGTTAGTTTACTTTGGGTTTTATCCATTATTGGATTTTATTACTGGATTTTTTGCAGGAAGACTGAGTGGAATGTCATCATTTTGTGCTTCCTTTTTTGGGATCTGTAGACTCACAGACCTAGGTTAATGTTGCATTATTTTTGTAATTGTTGAAAAAGGAACCACCGGCTCATAGGTTTTTATTTTGCTTTTTTACTTGTAGCTCTTTCGAGCATTAGTGAGCTGGATGTTCCTTATAAGGACCTTGTAACCGATTTTTGAATATTAACACGTAGGCCACATGAGTGGGTTTTAATTAAAAAAAAAAATATTCCTCCTAATATATATGCAATTTATTCCCGCAGAAATTACAAAATTAATATCTTCTATCTGTTAAAAAAAAATTTATGGCCCCGCCACTTATTAGCCCAGTAACATTGGTGATGATGTAAGAGATCTGAAATTTTTGTATGCCAACAATCAGTAGTGGAATCCGGAAGGAGTCGAAGGTGTGGCTTTCACCTCTCTTGAATTCAACAAAGACTCTTTATATTTGTATAATATCAACGTTTTGCTCTTAAAATTCTCCTGCAAATATATGCATGTAAATTATATAAAACTCTTACTTCTTAAGTTTAGAGCAAATTCTTTCAAACACACACTCTCTCTCTCATTTGAAATCCTAGTTCTGCCACTGCGCATAACATGAAAATGCTTGGCGCATGAGGAGATTATTTCACAATATTTCATAATTCAGTATGCTATCAAAATCCAGAACTGCTTGCACATCTGAGGAATATAGCAGGTTGCATATCTGTTGCTTGAAGATGGCTGGAGAAGCCTCACCATTCCTTTCTACTCTTCCAGGGACGCTTAACGCAAAACATCCTTGATTGGAAATAAATGGAGCTTTTAATCTTCTTTCTTCCTGGTGCAAGAACCAAGGACCAAGATGGTAACTTTGAGAGGAGAAGACGGATCTGTTCAGCTCATTTTCAAGCTCCAGTTGACCCTCCACTCCTTGGTTGCTTGAGTTGAAGCATGGAGAATTCAGAAGAGGTGGCATCTTAGGATTTTCAGATAAAATATCATCAACAATTAAGTTCTTCTTGGATGAAAACTCTTGTGCTGGGCTTATCTTTTTATCCTTTGTGTTCTGGTATGCTTTGCAAACAACCCATTCCTCCTGCATGCATCATATTGAGAACTAATTATGAATGTAAATATCAAAATATTTTAATCATTTAGCATGAGTGCAGTCTTAATATGGACAAAAACTCTATAATTATAAGAAAATCCTATAAAAAAAATAGATTTACACTTCATTGTTTTGATGTTGTTGAAGTACTGTTTTATTAATTGTGCAAAGAGTAGGCTACTTAATTAGCATGAAATAACATTATATTTTTATGCACTTCTCTATACTGTTTATATAATATTTGTAATAATATATTAATATTGAACGAGTGCTATAAATCAAATTTATGACTTTGACAATAATTTTCGAGATCCTCAACTGACTGAGACCCATAGACCTTTCTTCCTATGAATTCATATATGGTGGCCTAAAATAATAATAAATAGATAAATAAATAATTTTTTGTATGTGATAGTAAACCTTGTACCTTTGGAGATTTAGAAAGGCTGTAAGGAACTTGTTGTTTGCCTTCAAGTCTGTATTCATGCATGACCCAGTTGGTCCTCTGCCCTTTTGGAGCTCTCCCCTTATAAAAAACAAGAGTTTTCTTCTTCCCTAGGACTCTCTTCCCCTTCAATATCTCCTTATCCTTTCCTGTGGTCTTCCAATAGCCAGCTTTTGTGGCCCGATTGGTCCTCATCCCTGTAGGATACTTTCTGTCCGTTTGGCAGAAGAAATACCATTCTTTATCTCCCATCTTGGCCTTCCCTACATATCATATACAGTTAATATAAAATATATCATTATGAACTATTTTCACTTCGAATGTTTAAGGATGGAGGAATAGTTTCAGTACTTGGAAGATCCCAAGGCTCGCAGTCATTGAAATTTGCTTGGCTAATGGCTACCGATGTGAAATTCTGATCTGCAATTTTCTTCATGAGGTACTGAGTTATGATCTCTTCATCAGTAGGGTGGAATCTGAAGCCAGGAGGCAAGTAGATGGATTGATCATCCATGGAAAGAAGCACTCGAACTAGCTAGTCTGAGAAGAAGGCCTTGAAGTTATAGGAAGATGAAAGAGAGCTGGATTTCTGGAAGCTGGAGGAGGGAGAAGGAAGCCATGACTGATATAAGAGATTTCGGAGAGGCTGAAGACCCGTGCTTTATAAGTTACTTCTCGATGAAGCAGGTTTAGATGGTTATTTATTTTCTATATTCTTCTTAAATGCCTTCCTATTTGTCAAGTGTATATGGTTAAGCCTTATGACACGCGTCCAACATCATACATTTTTTTTTTTCTATGATGCTATACAATAAAAGGAAAAAAAAAAAGATCAAATCAGAATTTCCAGATTAAATTTTGTCTTCAAATTATTTAATTGTTGAACTAATGTATATATTGATTGATTATTTATAAATTAAGTTCATCTCAAAATAAATATGCACTAAGTTTCTGATCGTTGCTGTTTGACTGACATTATTTGATCATCATCATCTATCTGTCATTATCTAGCCATCATCATCCGCCTAACATCATTTAGGCTCCGTTTGGGACAGTTATCTTCTTGATTTCTAAAATAGCTTTCTAGTACAAAATTTTTTTTAATTTGAATTTTTTGTACTAGAAAGCTGTTTTGAAAAGCAGTACGAAAGCTGTTTCAAATGAAACCTTAATTATTTTATCTTAAGCATTTTTATTCACATTTATAGAAATACGAAGTCGTAATTTCATATTCTTCTACATATTCGATCATTTCAATTGAATTTGGCCTTATAATTTTTTTCTCTTTCGAATTTCTTACCTAAAAATTAGGTTGTATATTGCATATTTTTATTATTTATGTGTATGTAAAATTTTCATGAAAAACTTAGACATTAAAATTTATTCTTTATCATCGTTAATTTTCTAACACACACCACTAACTAAATGCAAAGTTTTTTCATGGCTAAATATCTTAAATAGCTGAATTAGAAATTAATATATACTGTGTTTTAATATTTGGCCACGTGTCATTAAAAATAATAATTATAATTTATTGACCTCCACCGGCTCCACGTCATGCATGCACCCAAGTTGTTATTTGGAAGAATTGGGGGACAGGATTATTTATGAAGAAAGTTAAGAAGTTACTGCTTTCTGACTAAAAGGATTCCAGGTAAAGTCTTTTCATACTTGGATCATGGAGGCCTAGCTGATTTTGATTGAGAATTTTGACTATCAATTAAAATGTTCTAAATTTTAAGTTTGTATACATGACGTGTACGTATATCCGCTTATTTTAATTGACATAAGTGTTTTAAAAAAAATTAGTAGATTAAGGCTTCGTTTGGGACGACTTTCTCACTACTTCGTAAAACGGCTTTCTAGTACAAAAATTTTATTTTTTTTACAAGAAAGCTGCTTTAAGAAGCTGTTTTAAGAAGCAGAAAGAAAGCCGTCCCAAACGAGGCTTTTTTTTTTGGTTAAAACCCGCTGTAGGGTCCTACAATCTCAAAAAACGGTTACAAGATCCTTAAAAGGATCCTCCAGCTCGCTAATGCTCAAAAGAGCTACAGGAAAAAAATAGTCAAAAAATACTAAGAGCCTGAGGTTCCTTACCCTACGAGTACAAGAAATGCGAAAATAAAGCCTAGGGCTGTGAGGAGGTAGCACTCAAAAAAAGAAGAACAGATTTGTCTTGATCAGCTCAGTCTTCCTGCAAAAAAACAAAAACCCCAAGAAATAGAAATATAAAGCAAATACTAAGAGTACCTTGCGGACAATGAAGATCCCTAAGATCGAATTAACAAAATTCCTGCAAGAATGACTCCCAAAAAGGATATTAGTAATATAAAAATTAAGAGAATTAAAAAACCCGTAGGTCGCCTTGATGGCCCAGTTTTTACTCCTAACGTAGAAATTCCTCTGCCTACCATCCAGATGAACAAGCTTCTTCCCATTACTCCATCTATTCCAGCAATCCCTCCAGAAATTCCCATATAAAACATAACCATAATTGCAATTGTACTTCCAGATAATCTCAAAACCAATCTTAATAGCAAAAGAAAAACATAACAGAATAACACCACCAATCCGGCACACAGCCTTCTTAGCAGGAAGACAGACGCTGCTAAAGAAACACCACAAAAAACTCAGCCACCACCAGTAAAACATGACCCACTCCATATAGCAGCAAAAAAAATATACCCATCAATAAAACACATAACCCCCAAAATCTCTTTGCAACCCCAACTTCCCCAGATAAAAAATGAAGAGATCCAGATATCCAAACAGCAGACGAAGAAAAAGGAGCCCCCAGCAGAAACCTGGACAACCAACAAAGCCCCAAGCAGCAAGATGAATAGAAAATCAGCAAAAACACCATCAACCAACCCAGACAAAACCAGAAAACACACAAAAAACATCAAGCTACTTATGGCGAATGTAAGGTAGACCAGATTTATCAAGAATAATCATGCCTTTAAGAGGCACAGGAATCTCAAACACAGAATGTTCCAGAAAATTCTCACTATTAGCACTGAAGTTAGCAAGCCAGTCCGCACATGCATTACCTTCACGATAATATGGGAGATAGTAAAATTATGTAAGGAGATAGCCATTCTAATTTTTCTAATAGTGTAAAAATCCTGAGGGAAACAAACATCATTATTAGAAATAATGTGAATAACTGTTAAGAACAAAGTATACATTACTCTACTGTCATCCAATAACCTGTGTACACGTGCCCTGCATAACATCACTTAGATGCTATAAATATGTATACAGGGAATGCTGTAAAATATGAAAAACATAATAATACATTTCTCATTATTCTTCTTTTACTGTCTTGCTTCTTCTCGGTATATACAATTCTACAATAACAAGGGTAGAATCAACCTCAATATTAACATTCTGTAAATCCATCCTCAAACAAATTTGTAAGCCTTGGTACAAACCGATGAGCTCAGAGGTTAAAATAGAGAAATTGGAGAGCTGACCTAAGAAAACAGCAATGGGATTGCCTTGAGAATTCCTGATAATACCACCCATCCCAACTTTAGTAGCATGAACAGAACCGTCAGTGTTCAATTTGACATAGGGATCGTAGGGTTTAAAGGTTTCATTTGGAATGATTTTCTCATTGTTTTCAAAAGTAACTTTTTAGAATAAAATTTTTTACTAAAAACAATTTTTGATAGCAACAAAAAAGCCGTAAAAAAACCCAATTCTTTATATTTATTATATAAATCATTTTTTTAGATGTAATCAACACTCTCATAATAATATTACAGTATATAATGTTTGACCGATAGACGTGACCATGTGTCTGGTACATGATAAAGTATATATTTATGTGCCATATTTACAGATCTAAAATATAGATTTATATATTTATTTATATATTAATTTAGAATTAAATTATATTAAAAAATATATATCAATATATATTTTTTATTTTAAATATTTTAATATGATTTAAAAATTTAAGTGTTATGTAAATAAATAAAAAATTATATATAAATGTATGAATGAATAAGAATTTTATGGTTATTTTCTCCTCTTCGGGGTTCTGATTTGTCCCCTTTCATCTTGCAGTTGGATGATTATGTCGGGTATAAACAAGTGAGCCGAGTAAAGTATTTGGCTAATTAGGTTAAGCTTGGTTAGCTCTTATTGAGTTCAAGCCCGACTCAAGCTCATTTATTAAGCTCGAGCTCAGCTTGTTAAAAAATTTATAGGCTTAAGCTCGTTTAAAATGCTCAAACTATACTTGATTGTTGAGGTCGATTTCATAGTTTTAAATTAAAATTTTTTATTTTTTAAGAATTTTTTTGTAGAATTAATTAAAACAAGATTAAAATATATTGCATAATGTTAATTTAAATCAATTTTAAAATATATTTTAAGTTAATATAGTGGCTCAATGAGCTTATGAGCCGAGTCAAGTTGAGTTCAAGCTCGAACTCGTGGCTTGATAAGCTTGACTTGTGAGCTCAACTCGAGCAGGGACGAAACTAGCCTTTTTTTTTTAGGGTGAGCAAAATATGATTATGAAATGCATAATCTTATATATGAGATAGAAAAAAAAATTCTTAGAATTTGGAGAACAACATTTATTAATGGTGAGCAAAATAGTTAAAATATTTATTTTTTCAGGAAAAAATTTTTCGAAGCGGCCAATTATCCACCTTAAACTCTTCATAATTCCACCCCTAAATTCGAGAGTATGCTCGACTCACTTATACCCCTAATTATATGCTACATATTTAGAGCCAAGTCAAACGAAAGTGTCGCTAGGGGCGCGGAACCAAGTATCCCGCACGAGCAGGACACCACTTCTAATCGCCTATTCCGCGCGCGGCTGCAGCTATTGCTTTGCGCCTCCGGCAGCTGTTCCGCACCTCCGGCTTCTCAGTACAACAACATTACCGGACGCCGCCGCCGAGTTCGACCTAGTGTTTCGCCGCCATTTGGGATATAAGTAATATATTTTACTTTTTTTTTAATTTGGAAATCAAAATCAAAATAGTATGTGATTTTACACATCGTTTTTGTGCCTTCTTTGCCGGTATGTTTATATGAATTTTTGATATGGGATTAGTTCATCTCTTTCATTATTTTGCATTTGATTGATCGAAAAGAAAGAAGCATATTTTCAAAAATGATTATTTTCCTTACGCTCATTTTTCCATGGAAAAAAAAATCACCTCTTTTAAGACGCTTTGTATAATTCTGAGTAGGGCCCTCAATTTTTGGCACGATTCGAAATCCGACCTGGACCCGACTATGAAAAATCCGGATTCAGGTCAACTTGTTTGTCAAAAATAGTCGGATTCGAGTTTGTAATTCTAACCCATTTGTAAAATCGGGTCGGGTTCGGATTGACTCGAAAACCCAAAACTTATCTGACTTGACCTGTTTGCAACATCCTGCGTGAAGTGAAACCCGTATTGTCACGTCAGGACCCAGACACGTCGTCGCGTCACTGTATCAAAGCATATTGTCTCCGCGTCTAGTCGCGTCAGGTGTCACGAGTGGTCCGAGTCTACTGGAAGGCGGGAAGGGTCACCGGTCACCTCGTCTACTAAGAATGCGTCAATGATAGGTCGCGTCACCGCGTCAACCAACGGCCGAACAGAGCTATACCGCATGGTGCTTCCTCCGTCTGTCCACTTTGTTGCCGCTGTCCTGCGACTCCCGCTAGCGCAGGCGCTGTCGCTGTGGTCGTCCACCCCGCAAGCACTACTGCTATCGCCGTCTTGGTCCTGCCT